CAGCACTTTTAAGTTCAGTTTCTCCTGCTGCAAGCCCTAAGGAGAAGCACCAGGCAAACTCCAGGGTTGCTTTACCCACTCTCCAATGCAAAAATGATGCCTCTTTATGGCGCTATCAATAACCGCTCGCCTCTCCTGCTGCCGCAGTGGCCACATACATAATATTTAAACCACATTGGTGGATGACAGAGACAGACGGATATTTTTAATCCCAACAGACTATTACGGTTCATATCATGTCTGTCAAATAAATATTATGAATCATTTCCCGTTATCTTTATGGGGGCAAGTTGACGACATCAGGGGATAGGGCAGGGAGTCTTTTCTCTGAATATTTATCCAGTTCGTATGTATATGTATGTGAACAGGAAATTTATGGAGCAATTGTCGATAATAAATGCCCCGATAAAACACATTATCTCCTCGCTTGATGGACTACATGTGGAGAGGGGCAGGGTGCAGGAGGCAGCGAGAGTATTCTGCCTGGACTCAGGTGAGCCTGGGAGTTTCCCTTGGCATCCTCAGCTCCTGTGATGCGTTAGTATCTGCTGCCCATGGTCATCATCTCATCTTAAGCCACATGTCCTCTGTGATTCACTGATCATGTCCTCTTATCTTACAGAGGAAGAGAACGAAGTTCGAAGAGGGCCTTTGTCTGAGGGCTACAGTAGAGTTGGCGGTTTTGGCCTCCTCCTCCCGGTACCTCCCCAGCATCCCATTCTCCAAGACCATCAGCTGTCCTTTCTTTCTGGTCTCCAGCCTTCCCTGCCATCTCTTGCCCTGACTGTCTGACCCATACCTTCTGGGAAGGCAGGTGTTGTGATTCACTGGATGCAGGTGTATGAGATCAGCAGTCTTCTGGGGGCTTTTTGGGAAATCTGGCTAACGGCTAGTGCCCATGGTGCTGGGTCCACTGTAGGACCCAGAGTCCAATCTCTGCTACACCAGCCTTAACACTGCCTATACCTACGGAGTAGGGAGCAGGGTCTTCCCCTGCTGCGAGGGCAACGGAGGAGATGGTGTTTGAAGTGTGTTGCAGACCTGGCACCTGGGAAATGCAAGCATCCTCCTCTCAGGGCTCTCGTCTACCCTTGTCCCTCCTCTTGTCCCCAGCACCCCTGGAACTGTTTAACTTGGCCTTGGATTTGGACTCTCTGAAAACCACAAGTTCTTGCTCAGGGCTGCCCCCAATCCCGTTCCCTCTGCACAGAGGTCCTGACCGCAAGCCCTCCTTGTCTGTCTCCTCTGTGCTTCTCTGCTTCTGGCTACAGGCATAAGGACCCCCCTGGGACCGAGGACATTTTTCCCCCAAGGTCCTGATCCAGAGGCACCACCATCCTTTGTGGCCACCCATCAAGACAGACAGAAGTCCAAGTGGGGCCAAACAGCCTTTCCCCTTACCTCCTGGAAAGACACGCACGGAGAGGGGGTTGAGTCTGGACCCTGTGCTGGCCACAGCTCCATATGGCCTTGCCTCTCTGAGCTTCACCCACCATCATCCAGCTTGGTTCGTGGTCACCCCAAACTGAGCCACGGGGAAGGTGACCAAGGGACTCTGTAGGCTGCGGTGCTGGAGTTCAGAAGTGGGCCTGGTGGAATGCTGAGCGTCTAGTCTACCCCAGCCCTCTGCTTTCAGGATTTGAACTTCCTGGTCAAGAATATTCCGCTGGGAATGGAATGGAGACAGCCCAGGACCCCTTGAGTTCCAGGAACTACTGGGCCCCATATGTCTGTCTGATATAGCCTCAGGGTATCCAGCAATACTGGCCTTTAAAAACTCCATTCACCAGGCATTCCCTAGACTGTTTACAAGACTGAGCTGCAGCACTGTGAGAAAGGGCCAAGGTACCTTAAAAAGCATCCTTCACGAGTTAAACAAACAAACAAACAAATGAAAGAAAACTCAAACAAAACAAATGGCTCTGAGTGTAGGCTTAAGAGGAGGGATATTACCATAGAAGTTTTTGGCTACTGAAGCACGTGGCACAAAGGCCAGGGTGGTTTTTCCCATTGTGGCTTGGTCCTGACTACTCTGGAACAGTCGCTGTCTCTGGCAGGTTCATGTGGGTTCACCCCTACCAAAGAGCCCCAGGTTGAGGTGAAGGCAAAACACAGTGGCTATAGAAATAACAAGCAGCCTGCTCCCGTTTTTCCTCCCAGAGCTGGAGGGTTTGAGGTAGGGCCGCCCTCAGTACCCTACCTGCCCTTTGTCCTGGGTACCTTGTCTGTGTCCCTGTCCTGTAGAGAGACAAGGCTCAGAGCTGCTCAGCCTGTGTCTCTGAGGCCAGATGTGAGACTGGACTAGCTTAGTAGGGTCTGGATCCCATGTTCCCCACTGTACCCCTATATCCTGGAGTGGCCAGGCTTCCTGGAAACAGGCATTACCTCTGGATCCTTCCACTGTCCCTGTCCCCAGCTAAAGTCCCCACATGGAAACCTGCCAGCCTAGGCCTCTGTCTTCCAGTACTTCCAGCTTTCCACTGCAAATGGTAAGGCTGGGGGAGAGCGGGGATGGGGTGGGTGCTGGGCACTAGTGAGTCAGAGGGTCCATCACCAGGACCTAAGATTCCATTGCCAGCCTTAGGGACCTTCGGGCTGAGCTTTCCCACAGCAGACCCAAGTGTTGTGGTCTGACAGTCAGGCTGGCTTTCGGCTTCTTCCTACCTCTAGGCCACTGCTATGCCAGTCCTTCCACCTGGGTGTGTCATCCTGACTCAACCGGACAAACATGTCCCTTCTTCATGGCACAGCTCAAGGACCAGCCATCAGGAAGTCACCAGAGCCCCTGGCTGGCTGGCTGGGTCTTGTTTGTTCTTCTGTCTCTATTGGTGGTGCTCTGGGTCTGCCTGCACTGCTCTATCCTCAACTATGGCTTCTGTCGCCATGGTGTGACCACTCTTGCCTGTGAGACCTCCTTATCTTGTGACAAAATAACCACCACCTACCTGCCAAGCCCTCCTCCTGGCCTAATAGTCTCTATATTGCCTGGTTAGTCATTCCAGTGACCCAGTAGGGAGGGTGGGATTGTCTGCACTTTACAGACCAGGGGACTGAGGAAAAGAGCGGAGTGGAGTGCCTTGGCTAGACCACTAGACAGCTGGGAGGCAGAGTTGGGGGTCTGCCTCTGCCTTGCACATCTTGAGCACACCTTCCCCGAGAACCCAGGGTCATGTCTTCAGTGTAGACTCTGCTGATGTTTGTTGACAGAATGAATGATCCTTGGAGAATAGGGATCGTTGAAGCATGATCCCAACTCCCCTGCCACCCCCCCTTCTTATCCTCTCTGCTCTGAGACTCAGTGTGGGCAGGCTGTCTGCAGCCCACAGATTTCCCTGGCCATGGCAGAAAGACTGGGAGAGTGGTCCAGGGTGCTAAGAACAGATCTCTGGCCTTGCCGTAGACACAGAGAGTGAGTTCTACCCACTCCCGACCCGGCAGAGGAGTCTGAAAACGGCCCTGTCAAGGAAGGAGTCTGGGGGGCTTTCCCCCGGTCAAGGTGTACCACCACCAGAAGCCCCACAAGTTGCGTGCCGCATTAAGGGAACTGTCCAGGCGATGGGACAGGCCTGGGAAGGGGACTTGGTTTGTACACAGCCCAGGACATTTAGTGCCCCGATTTTGCTCTTTCTTCTCTCCTGCCCTGGGAGGATAGGTTTCCCCAGACCCCACGGGAGCACCAGGGCTGGCCTTCCTCTGGGACAGGTCTGTAGACCATATGGGATGCTGCGAAGAAAAAGTGCAGTTCTGGAGGGTGGCGGTAGTGCACCCAGGCAGGGCTTTCCTTTTTGTCTCGAGGGGGAGGTGCCTTCTTTGGGCAGTACCCACTATGTGCAGCCTGTGGACTTTGGTAAGCCCCTCTGCCAGGGCCTCCACGCTGGATGTCGGTCTGGCAGGCACCAGCTGGGAGTGGAGGGAGGCGGGACTGCCGGTTGCCTGGCTTGGCTCAGGCACACAAGTGCGCTTAGGGAGGCTGGCTTGGCTCTGCTCAGGTAGCTCACACCCAAATCCGAATTCCAGCCGCCCAAGAAGGCGGGCGGGTTGCGGAGGAGGCCCAGGCTCTCTCTGGGTAGGAGTGCTTCCTTTCGTTTTAAAACAAACAAATCATGAATTTAAAAGTCAGGGCAGAGAGCTGCCCAAGGTATATAAATAGCCTGGGGCCACTGGGCGATGTCCGAAGCGGGCAGCTGCGTCTCTCTAACCCCGTACCTCAGAGGAAGGCTGGGGCCGTCGGGGTAACACGGGTACGCGGAACCCCCTTCCCCCCCCCCGAGTTTGGCTTTCGGTCAGATACCATGGTCATCTTTGGGCCTCCCTCGTGTACGTGGGAGGGGACTGGAGCGTCGGAAGGATAGCATCCCCCTGCCCAGCTGCCTGCTTCTGGCTCACCGCTCTTCCCCGGCCTCAGTTTCCCCATGTGTCCGTTGGGGTGCTCTGGGGCCTCAGCTCTCCTATAGGGGGCCCTATCCGACCACGGGCCCCCAGCGACCACGGCTGGCCTCTTTGTGTGTCCGCGCAGACAATGGCCCGGCCGCTGAGCTCTCCTCCCGGCCCGGCTCTCCTCCTCCACCACGGGCCGCGGGGATTTTGGGCAGCCGGGGAGGGAAGACCGCTTCAGCTGGCCGCCCCGCCCTCCTCCCACGCCGCCGCCCCACGGCTCCCGGGAACCCCTGGCAGACACAAACTTGCAAGTTTGCAGGACGCTCACAACTCGGGGCCGGGCGGAGAGCGCGGGGAGGCGGCGGCAGCGGCGGGCGGGGCGCTCACCGACTGCGGGCGGGGCGAGTGGCGGCGGCGGCGGCGCTGCGCCGAGTCCGCGCCCGTCGCGGGCCCCCCCGCCGCTCCCCCCGCTGCAGGCCGGGCCGGAGCGGGTCGCGGGCGCGCGGCGGAGGCGCGGGAGGCGGGCGCGCGCGCAGGGCGCGCGCAGGCACAAGTAGTTTACATTGTTGGGCGACTTTTGCAACAACTCGCCGCGCCGCGGCCTCCGCGCGCCGCCGCCGCCGCTGCCGCCGCCGGCTCCCCGCCGCCCGGGCCCGGGCCGGCCGCGCCGGGGGCCGCTGCGCTGTCGTCCCGCAGCTCCCGCCGCCGGCCGGGAATGAGTTAGTCGCAGACATGGACACCAAACATTTCCTGCCGCTCGGTGAGTGCCGGCCGCGGCGGCGCGGGCGAGGGAGGGGGCCGGGGCTGGCGGGGCGGGGGCGCGTGCGCAGCGCGCGTGGGGGGGTCCGGCCGGGCCCGCTGGGCCCCGCGCTGTGGCGGTACCGAGAGTTGGCGCGCCGGGCCCGGGGAGGCGAGTAGGCACAGGGCAACTTTTCCCGGGCCCGGGCGCGCGGCGGGAGAGGGCGAGGGCGCCGGGCCTCTGACTTGTCGGGGAGCGGGAGTGGGCGGCGGGGCTGGGGCGAGCGGCAGGTTCGCTCAGGACGTGGGATAGGGTCCCTTACGGTGCGCGTAGCGCGTCCGCAGAACCCCGGGGCGCCCAGCCTCAGTCGCCCAGAACCCGGCCACGCCGGAGGAGCAACTTCTGCGCTCGCTGGAGGGCTCCGGGCCTCCCTGGCACTGGGATGGGGGCGACGCGCTGGGATCCGGGAGGCCACTGCTCCTCCGGGCTTGTCGGGCTGCTGTTTGGAGCAGGCCGCTGGCCCCTGGGTGTCTGTTCGCCCAGGACAGAGTCTGCGATCTTGCCGTTCCCGACAGCAGCCTAAACCTAGGTGGGCACGGTCACCCAGGGGCCTCTGATGAGGAGCATCAAACCCAGAACTGGGGCCCCACGCTCTGGCACCCCTAGTTGTTCTCCCTGGTGTTTAGGGGGAGGACAGCCCATAGGCAGAAGAGTCCGTTTTTCTTGTCCTGCTGCCCTCCCGCCAGCAGCTCACAGCCTGCCAACTCCTGGAGTGGAACCCAGCAGGATCAGAGCCCCCCACCCATTGCTCTCGCAGGGGTTTTGGGAGCCAGAGGGAAGCAGTGTAGAGAGACTTTATAAATGGGCTTTGGGAAGGATATTAATTTGGTGGTGAGGACAGCAGCCAGGCTGTCAGGCTGGTGAAGAATTTGTGCGGAATGGAAATCAGGACAGCTGATTATGGACGGAGCTCCATGATGATCAGTGCCTCTTTGCCTGCCCAACCCCTATGAAGCTTGGGGTGCAGTTTGGCTATCCTGAGGGGTGATCAGAGCCCAGCATGGCTTCCAGGATTTTTGGTGATTTGGGGAGGTGGCACCCCCTTGGCCCAGACAGGTCTGTTGCAGAGTGACTTGGATGGAGTGTTCCAAGTTTGTCAAAGCTTCAGACACTTCGTCCTTATTAGTAATGATGAAGACCATGGGGGCTCAGCTGAGCTCGAGGGTCTGGCTCCCAGGCTGTAAACTCCTGTCCATGTTGTAGTTGAGAAGCTGGCTTCGAGAGGCCCCACTTAGAAACTATAGGTGGTGGATTTGGCGTTGGAGCCCCCTGCCAAAGTCTACTGACACGAAAGCTGTGCTACTGTGGCATGTAGCCGTGGGGCCTGATGTGGGGTTGGTGGGACCCCTGAGACACCTCTTTCTCTTCCACCCAAGCCTTTGTGTGCACAGAGCTGGGTCCTTAGGACAGGAATGCTTTGCTCCGTCTCTGGCCTGGGTCATGGCTAGGGCCTGGCAATACTTTGCCTAGATTTTGGAATGGGAAACAACATCCCAGGAGGGACAGAGCCCATTCTAGAAGTTGACACATAACAAAACTGGGCATGAGGTTGCCGGGTGGCTGGGCTGGAGTCTCCAAGAAGAGGAGTTGTGTCTTGGAGCTGTTGTCTCCCCCCCCCACACACACAAGGAGACCCGGAGTCTTGGGTTCGCAGAGTGGTGGCTCTCAGGACCAGCTTGTGGCCTCCCAGGCAGTCCATGCCGCAGGGCTGAGTTGTGAGTCCTGGGCTCTGATTACATTTTATTTTTTACTAAGCTTGTGACCAGCTCTGAAGTCCAGTGCAGTTGAAGGTCCATTTAAGCAGCTACTTGCCTAAGCCCTTTTGTCAACACAGCCTAATCCCTCCTGGGGGCTGAGTGTCAAAGGATCAGGCTCATCCAGGGTCCCCACTGACTATTTGGGTCTGACTTGAAGTGGCTGGGACAGTTTGGCCATCCTTTTTTAACTACCCTGCCACTTTTGGGGTCTGGGACGGAGGGCTCTTCCCAGCGTGCACTGTGTGGGGTTTGGTGGTTCAGACAGCCTCCGAGACTCTCTCCACCGAGTTGATCCTTGTGGGACAGATCTGAGAAGGGAGGGAGGATGGGGAATTTGCCCCAGGCAGTCCCTGTTTCCTGGCTTAGCTGCCCAGGGCTGGAGTTGGGGAGTGGGGTAAGGGCTCCGCCTGGCCTCAGCTTGGATGGTGGTGGGTCTGGAAGGCTGAGCCTGCAGAGTCCAAAGGTTCCAAGCCTGCATTGACCTTCTCAGATGTGTGGTCCATTTGTATGTGAGGGTAACAGGTTTCCAGAAGCAGGACTCTAGGCCTCCAACCACGCTCTTGTGGGGCTCTTGGGGACCTAGTGAACTTGGGGCCTGTGTGAGGGGGCTTTTTAGTAACATTGGAGCCCTTGTGACCCAAAATAGAGCACATTCCGGGCGTCCCGAAATAACAGGGTCACATGACTCTCAGGAGGCTGGACTTGGAGTCCAGCTTGGGCCTGACGAGGCAGTTCACAGTTAGGCCCCCGGCTGCCTACTGATTTGGGCATTTGTTTTGGGAAACTCTGGGGGGGACTCCGTTGTTGACTGAGGAAGTGTTAGGCTGAGAAAAAGTGACCCCCTGATGGTGGTCTGACCTTTGGTAGTGGCCTTGGCCGCCTGTCTTCTTCTTTGGGCTGGGCACAAACATTTGTCTCAGGTGTGGGCTCAGAGAGCTAGGCCCACCGGAGGGACTGCCTGAGGGTGGGGAGTTCTCCACACAGCCCAGGTCTGCACTGCTCAGTCTGTGGGGTGTGTGGGGTGTAGTTGAGTCCGCAGGCCACGTGGGGCAGCTGCCGTGGGCTGGCTCCCAGGTCCAGGTCTGCCAGGGCCCTGGCGGCTCTTCCGGCTGTCCTTCAGGGTTAGGGCTAGGTGCACCTCCTCAGGAAGGCCCCTATGATTGCCTGGCTAGTGCCCTGTCCCACCCATGCCAAGACTCTTCTGGAGGCTGAACAGAAGTGCGGGGACACCTGCCCCACCCTCGTGCCTTCCTTTAGGAAAGGAAGAGGGTCACAGGGTTTGTCACTCTGTGGTCACTGTAGGGGTGCTCAGGCCTGCATCCCTCCACCCATGCGTCCCAAAGGGGCTCTAGTATCCAAATGTTTGGACAGAACTGAGCTGCATAGAATGTGTTATGAGAGTCTTGGGCCCACCAGTCAGTGAGGTTGCCTGGGGCTTCCTGTCTTTAGTGGTATGGGGTCTCACTGTGTTAGGACCAGCGTCTCCATGGTAAGTGAGGCCTGGCTCTGCAGTGAATTGGGCTGGTGGACCTGGTTCAGCTGTCTCAAGACATAGGCCTTGTGAATGGCCTAGGGCCAGGACAAGCCAAGACCTGCCTTCCTTCCGTACTCCTTATGCCTAAAGCTTGTGGGCCAGGCAGGGCCTTGAGGTATCAGATTGGCTGCTGCATTTTCGTGGGCTGGCCATCGGCTGGGCCAGAGATGGCAGCTGGAGACCTGGCTCTCCAGAGTGTAGGTGTTTGGATTGTGGCTGGGAGTGTGTCCGTTTGGGGGGTCACCATCCAAACCTTTGTTCCAATGCTGTTTTTAAAATTTAAAAATTACGTTTTGTGTGTGTGTGTGTGTGTGTGTGTGTACTTGCAGACACACATGCCACAGCATTTGTACAAAGGTCAGAGGGCAGCTTTTGGGAGTTGCGTCTTTCCTTTCCGTACCATGTAGGTCTTAGGGATTGAACTCAGGCCTTGGTAAGCAAGTACCTTACCCACTAAGTCACCTCACCAGCCCCCAGTGCTTTTATAATAGACTGGTTTCAATGCTGGGAAGGGTCGGTGGCGATGGACTGTCCACTTGCCCATGGGCCTGCAGCATGTCCTTGCTATAAGGTATACTTGTTCCTTCCCTGTCCCTTCTCCTTTCCATTCAGACTCTTTTCCATGGCTGTGCCCTCCCTCACAGCCACAGAGGGCCCTGAAGGACAGACACATCTGGACAGTTGATATCAGTCACCTGCGTCTGTAAAATGGGCACATTCCTTGTTTTTCAAGACTGTGGGGCACATAGCCTGATTTGTCCTAGGCTGGTTGGGAGTCCACAGAGCTCTTTGTGTGGGGTATGATCTCTCTTCCTCGAGGTGAGGCCTGAATCCAGGTCCTCTCTGGGTCTCTTCCTTGAGTCAGGATAGGGCCAAGTCACCATTGTCGAGCCCAAGCCTTCCTGAGACTCCCCTGTGCCATTGGGTGTGAGGCAGTGGGCACCGAGGGAGCACAGCTGCGACCCCTTGGCTGGGTGTCCCCGTCTAGGTTTCTGCTCCCTTGCTAGGCTCCCTTGACAGACCCCAGCTGCTGCATGACTCTCCCCAAGGCTCAGTGGAGAACCGTGCGTGAGCACACCCACCCGAGTCTGGTGCGAGATGTTCTGAGCAGTCGTGCCCCAGCGCCTCACAGACAGGGAAATTGCACCCTAGAGTTACAAAGCAATTGTCTAGCTCAGCAGCTGAATGAGCGTGAAACGGAGCAGAAAGCAGCTAAATAAAATTGGCCCAGGACGTGTGGGGAGCGGCCAGGGTGTGCACAGACAGACAGACACACACACACTTACCTGGTGCTGCTTCCACCCCACCATGAGGTAGCAAGCCAGTGCTACAGGCCTCCCAGGGTCTCCTAAACTTCACATGGATCTGTGGGTCTGGCTGCTTCTCACAGCCCCTGTTCTTTTAAATTTCTCCTGTCCTGTTCAGGACCTGCCCACCTGGAGAGGGGGCTGATATGTATCCATTGGGTGCCTGCTATGTACTGGTACTTAATTCAAGGCCTTATGAGTGACCCAGGGGCAACCTCACTTAGTGATGGGAAGCTCCATGGTAGGGTCTCTTTGCCTTGGTACTTCAATATCATGTCTCTGTGAGGTTCTCTGCTCTGCAAATTGATTTCCTAGACAAGGCCCAGCCCTGATCTTCAGCTGGGCCAAGTCTTGTTCTTGAAC